ACTAAAGCAATGTAAAAGGGGGGTTTTGTACGGGCAGGCCCCTAAAAATAGTGAGAAAGTAAAAAAGAAAAAGCAGGAGAAAAAATCCGCCGAATTTGTTCTCATTGAGAGGTTGCGACATTAGAAATTAGCCGAACTGGTAGCAAATACCAGCAGCAACGACGTGCTGGCACAGGCCCTGTCGATTTTGAAATAAGAAAAAAAGTTAAGATGATTCTTGTTGATTGGGGTTTCCTTTTTTTTTTTTATCTGTTACTGAATTTGCAGTTCAAGTCCCCAAGGACAACAAATGTCCACTACTCGCTATCGACTGTTGTACCGACTGGAGCACACTGTCCAGCGGCTTGGACTGCAAGCAGCTTCTAGAGGCAGTTAAAGAAAAGTTTTCTGGCAATGGTATGCGATTCGAACTGTCCAATGATCCTGGAAGGTATGTGTTTCAACCATTTCAGTGAACAGATGACAGACCAAAAATGAAAAAATGCTACACTACACGTCCACTGAGGACAGTATATTTCTTTAGGCTGGGAAAAAACTAAATAAGCTGAGAGTGAATAACGGTAAATGCTGATTTCTAGGTATCTGTGCGCATATTCCTACTACATATCGTTGCGACATAACAGGCATCGCTCACTGTTCGTACACGTTCCCGAATTTGATGAATATTGTACGAAGGAATTTATCGCCAACATCATCAAGCAGATCATCCACAAATCCATGCTACAGGTCCTCGCACTCCGTGAAAAGCGATCCACAAATTCCGATGATAAGGAGCAACAACAGCAGCCTAAGCAAGCAGCTTCTGGGCAGTGATGGCTAAAGCAAAATTGCAAATGGGGCATGATGTGTTATAATTTCAGTGGATAGCTTCAAATCTTTCGATTTTAAGTTAAATTCGCCGCCAAAAATCAGCACCGGCTGATAAATACAGTTACAGTAATCTCCGGAAAAACCCCACCCATGTTTTATACGCCAAAAACATTTAGGGTACTGAAATCTGCCAGTTGTATGCAATATTTTGTTGTGCTTTTGGTTTGCTGTTGTATTCGATTGCTGCTGGAATCTTCTCCATCCTTATTTGTTTTGACTATGTTGTATCCACGTAAACCTAATGAGCATTCTGCTATGTTCCTTCGTCCCACTGCTAGCCTTCTCGGTGTTTGTCTCACTACTAGCCTTCACTCTGTTTGTTTATGCAATTTAAAACAAAATTTGTTCATGCATTGTCTTTCATGCCTGTCACATGACCAGCCCAGCTCTTTTTTCTGATTTATTTTCCTTTGTTTACATAAATTGTGCTAAATTGGAACAACTGCTGTACTTCACTGGAAATGTAATTACTTTTTTGCAAGTAGCATAATTACTGAATTTCTCGACGCGCCGCGCTGTCGTTACATCGCCAGTTTCTGCTTCCCAGTGTTGCATAACAGTCGGTGAAGAAACAGGGCAGCAACAGCATTAACAATTGCAGGAAGCCGGAATTCAGAAGAACAAAAAGAGGCAAGAACGAAAAGAAGCTGGTAAAATTTATGGTTCGAATCAATTTTCGAAATTCAGCGAAGTGCTGCACTAAGTCTCTGAAGTTCGCCGCAAAAGACTGAAGAACAAGCCGGAACAAAACCTGCTGCAAATTTACGATAGCACCTTCGCCGAACCATTAGAAAA